ACACACACACACAGAGACACACACACACACACACACACAGAGACAAACACACACAGACACAGACATACACTCAGATTAGGCACTGTAGCCCACAAATGTACAGTTTGAGTCAGAAGTTTTTGATACCAAATAAAAGGTTAGGCACTTTTGAACCGGACAGAACGAGTGTTAAATAAAGCGATACATGGATCCTCCTGAACAGAAACCCACCGTCAATGACAGAAGCTCACAGCAAAACAATATGTGATTTAAAAACAGTCTCCATTCACACCAACCAATCACAGGCCTTGATTCATTCAGAGGAGGCGGGGTTACAGCAATACTGTGGATGCTGGAGAAATCGAGTTAATGCTCTAGTTTGCATGGACAAGAAGTTATCACGATGAGTTCTTGCATTTTAAGACTTGGCTGAATCTTTGCATGAACGCAGAAGGTTTCTCTTCTTCATTTCTCCTCTGACTTAAATTACATTTCATAATTTAGTATAATAGGGTTCTGGGAGTCAGTGTAAACAATATCTTGAATAGTTTTTGTATCTAAACTAGTGCTGTCAAATGATTAATCACGATTAATCGCATCCAAAATAAAAGTTTTTTTTTTTACGTAATGTATGTGTGTGTACTGTGCATATTTATTATGTATATATAAACACACACACAGTATATTTTGAAAATATTTACATGCATATATTAATGTTCATATAATTTATATTATATATACATATATTTAATATATAAATATAAAATTTTTCTTAAATATATACATGGATGTGTGTGTATTTATATATACATAATAAATATACACAGCACACACACATACATTATGTAAACATAAACTATTATTTTGGATGCGATTAATCGTTTGACAGCACTAATCTAAACCTGATTACTGTAAAAGGCTTTATCTGATTTTGAGTTTGAAGATGAGTGCAGCAGATCTTCTCCATGCAGACCATATAAAGCAGACTTCATTTAAATAGTCAGATTCTCCCAATAAACATGGACTAGAATCATTTAACCCTCCAGAGTTTTAATACTTCGACTCAGCGACCCTGAACATGAAAACCAACAGCAGCCATTAAAATCATATTCATGTTGGTGGAAAATCAGAGAACAAATCAGCAAAATGTGTTTTAAAACCCTTTTTAGCACTAGTTCTCCATCCGGCCGTAATCGCCTGAAAGCTTTATGTGAAACAAAAAACAAAAAAAAAACATGATTGATCAACCAACATCAAAATCGATTAAAATAAATAACAATTCCTTGATTCCTCTGTGATTAAATAATTCAGCAATAATAATAACAACAATAATCAGACAGCATTGCACACGAATGGAGAGTTGCACTGTAGTGAAGGAGGCACTGAGGACGAGTCTCCGCTTTACGACAACAAAACAACATATTCCCCACAATTCCCAGCGGCGACTGATCAACCACTCCAGCTTGTCCTGATTTGGTCTCCGTGAGAAATCTGTGGGTTCCCCTAAACCCGTCCTGTTAGCACAGGAGTCTCTCAGAGATTGGGGAAGGAGCGCTGCTGGATCACTCCAGTGTCACAGAGGTATTCAAACAAACGAGACCTGGAGTCCCGAGTCGGTTCATCCACTGACCTCAGAGCTAGTCACCGTGATGGCAGGCGTGACGGAGAGGCCTGATTGGCCGGGACGAGCTGTCCGTCATCACCTCTTCTGCTCCCAGATCTCCGGCATGTTTAAGTCCAGACACTCCAGAGAGCGCAGAGCCTGCACGTTCTCCGAGTAAAACGCCACGTCCACCATCACCAACCTGCAGAGAGAGAAAGACCACGAGCTCATGTCATCAAGAACAAATCACGCCCCAGGATTCAAAGAAAAAACCTTTCCATCTAACAAAAGACTAATAGGAAATAACAGTAAAAACATACTCATTATTAATATATATTCATTATATGTCAAATAAATATTAAAGAAATAATATAAAATTATAAAATGGATAGTTCCATTTCTTGATTCTGATTGGCTGAGCCACGTTCGAAGCTGTTGTAAATTACTCTACATTTTTATATATTAAAATGTATTAAATATTATCTATATATAAATATATAAAAATACTACTATATTATATATGTAAATTAAAAAAATTATAAAAAATAATACTATAAATATTTATATATGCATTTATACACAATTATTTTAAATATGCAAAATAAAAGATACATTAAAGCATATAGTATTTTCTATAAAATGAAGCCTAATTTTGTAATTGTCATTAGCCGGGTTTCCATCCTAAGTTGCAAATTTAACTTATGCGCAAAACTGGAATATCGCATAAAACATTTGCGAACAAGCATCGTTTCCATGCAACGAGTCAAAGAGAACAAAATCGTCACTGCCTGATAAACTGGCACTATAAATCACTAAGAAAACTAGGAGAATATAATAATTTTCATAAG